ACTAATAATCGGAGGCCCAAATGTTCTCTGTCCAAGTATTCACTCTGCAGTGAATTCCACATCTGTGCTGAAAAGCTGAGTGCCAACTCAAGCAATTTATATAAGTAGCATGACTAAGCCAACATTGGTTTTATTTAGAATTTTGTTTCTGGGAATGACTTTTTCCCTTGTTTTACCTGTTATTTCCCTATCTGAGGTAACCCCTTTTTAAAATTGAGAAACAGGGCCAGGTTATTTGAAAAATAAATTTCTTATTAAAGCCTTTCTAATAAATAAAATTGCCACGGCTGCCCTTTATGTTTTCAAAATGTTCATAAGATTTTATTAATTTCTGGGCTTTGGGCAGGACCATCTTTTCTATTTTTCTCAGAGATGGGCTATAGGGACTAATATTAGGTGGTTGAAAAATTTTCTCCTGCATTGATTAGGGTGTGTTAGGAGATTCTTCCTGACTCTTAGCAGCCTATTGAAATGTTTTTATTAGGGGAACCTCTGGAGGAAGAGATCAACCATTAGGGGTTAAATCATTTTCCTCTGTGTGTGTGTGTACACACACACACACACACACACACACACACACACACACAAGGCACTAATTAATAATTAATGCATTGCTGAACCAAGGCATAGACACTGCTTACATACCTATTACAATCAATATATGAACTAACAAATGGTGACAATTTGCCTTAATGATCTTAAAGTGGAAATCAACATAGAGGGAGGTGTACAAGAAGATGATATAATATCACCTATTTCATAAACTGGATTGGGCAAAAGATGGAATAAAAATCAAAGGTGCCTATTTAAATCACTTAAGAATTGCAGATGATGTTCTCTTCTCACAACATCCAGAAGAGCTACAAAGAAACATACAAGAGCTGCACAAAACAGGAGAACCATTTGGCTTAAAAATAGAATAGAATAGAATAGAATAGAATAGAGTAGAGTAGAGTAGAGTAGAGTAGAGTAGAGTAGAGTAGAGTAGAGTAGAGTAGAGTAGAGTAGAGTAGAATACTTTATTGGCCAAGTGTGATTGGATACACAAGGAATTTGTCTTGGTGTAAATACTCTCAGTATACATAAAAGAAAAGACACATACAAAGATAAACCTAAAAAGAGCCAGGCATTCAGCAAGCTAAGCATAATTTTCACGAAAAACTTGAACACCTGAAGAAAAAAGTTTTCAATGAGTGTGTGCTACCTGCTCTAACATATGCCAGTGAAACACGGACAGTAATCTCACAATTGATTACAAAAGCTAAGAATGGCACAAAGAGCCATGGAAAGATACATGCTCGACATTACAAGACAAGATAGATGCACATGGATTAGAGAACAAATAAAAGTATATGACATTATCAAGAGAGTAAAAGTATTTAAATGGAAACGGGCTGGTCACATAGCAAGAAGAATTGATGGGAGGTAGACGAAGGCAGTCATAGAATGGATCCCACTTGATAAAAAGCATCCATAAAAGGGGCCAAAAATAAGATAGATTGACGACATCAGCTAGTATTCTGGGCCTAAAGGGCAAAATAAAGCTGAGGACCATATTGGTTGGAAATTATATATATATATATGAAGGTTCCTTTCATACACACACACACACACACACACACACACACACACACACACGTGTGTGTGTGTGTGTTAGTTATGATCCCTTCTTACAGTTTTTATCTGAATGAGATTATATACAATGTACAGTTAGCTACTAATTGTTAGTAGATAGAAATTTCAGCCAAAAATAGTGTGTTGAATTTTAAGGTTGTTTTAAGCAAAATAAAAGTTTCTTATCTCAACGCTACACAAACTTTAGTATTAATATTACATGATATAGCACTGATTGCACTGATTGCTTCAAGGTGCAATTCAAGGTGTTTGTTTTATCCCCTTTAAGTGGCACGGGTCCAGGTTACTCGAGGAACTGTCTCACCTAATGGGACTGGCCTACCCCACCCTGTGCCAGCAGAAGAGACATGCCGCGGCCATGGAATTCTGGCTGAGTCCAGGAGAAGGTTCTTCTCTGCTGTGGCTCCTGCCCTTTGGGATGTCTTGCCCCCTGGGGTGAGGTTTGCTTCCTCACTCCTGATCTTCAATAAGGGCCTGAAGATCTGGCACTGCACACCAGAACAACTAGACACAAGGACATTTTTTTTCCGAACGCCATCACTCATCAACAAATAATTCCCTCAACATTATCCAGCTATTTATTAAGTCTGTATTACTATTAATCTTCTCATCACTCCTTATCACCCATCCTCTCCCACTTGTGACTGTATGACTATAACTTTGTCCCTTGTATCCTTACGATTTATATTGATTGTTCCCTAGTATGATTTGATTGCTTATTGTACCCTATGACTATTATTAAGTATTGTACTTATGATTCTTGACAAATGTATCTCTTCTTTTATAGACACTGAGACCATATGCACCAAGACAAATTCATTGCGTGTCCAATCACACTTGAATAAAGAATTGTATTGTATTGTATTGTATTGTATTGTATTGTATTGTATTGTATTGTATTGTATTGTATTGTATTGTATT